GCTAGATTTCGACGACTTCAGAGTGAGACCGGGCTCCTGAAACTGTTAAGTGGAAACTTACCTGAGTTAATTTATGGACATACAATGTTTTACAAATGTGAAGGTGAGCACGTGTCAAAATAAATGAGTCACCACACTCAAAGAAACCTGATGAATTGGACATTGGTTCATTTTTGTTCTCCCAGTTAACCCCTCAGAGGCCTTATATGTAATTTTTTTAAAATTGAAAGTCTCTACACATTCAGTAGATGTGAGTCGGCATGTTCCCAGTTTGGAGAAGCAGACTGGAATCTGACACGGAGCTAAAACATGTTCTGCTGTGGAGGGGTCAGCAACAGGGCCATTACAAGTGATTCAGATTGCCACCTTTGAAATATACCTGTGTTAAAAGGTAAATGATAAAAAAATATGTATATTAATTTAAAAACGGGGGAGGCACATTGGTACAGTGGTTAGCACCATCAACTCACAGCAAAGGGGTTCTTGGTTTGATCCCAGGTGTGGGAGCCCTTCTGTGCAGAGTTTGCATGTTCTCCCCATGTCAGCATGGGTTTTCTCCAGGTACGCCGGCTTCTTCCCACAGTCCAAAGACATGCAGATTGGGGATAGGTTAATTGGCGACTCTAAATTGCCCATAGGTGTGAATGTGAGTGTGAATGGTTGTCTGTCTCTACATGTCAGCCCTGTGATAGTCTGGTGACCTGTCCAGGGTGTACCCTGCCTCTTGCCCGATGTCAGCTGGGATAGGCTCAAAACAGACAGTACAATAAATGGCACACAGAATCCAGAATCACACACTGTCAGAGTTAAATCATGGCACTTAGAGGTCACTGCTGGTTAAGATAAGCGATAGTAGACGGGACAAAGGACCATCTGTAACACTTAGTGCTACGTTTAGTGAGGCAAAACCTCTGCCCTGATGGAAGCATCTGAAACTCAACATAGAGGGAATGATGAGAGTCTGAGACAACAGATATTTTAGCTCGCTGAACATGGGAGCTGCTGGTCTGCTGCTGCCTCGATCAGTTAGTTTGTGTTGTTGTGTGACTCAGGTGAATCCAAACTAACCCTTTTAAATGCCAAAGTCACACAATAACACTAACTAACTAACTTACTGTTTGAGACAGTGATAAACCAGCAGCTCCTGTGTTTAACAGTATTAAATCACATTTTTTCTTAATGGAGTCTTGCTTTGAAGAGAGCGATAAAACGGCTTCATTTTCCCATCAGATCGCTGTCTGACACTTAGGTGAAGCAGTAAAAAATACTCTAAATATAGCATACACTTAGACTGATACTGCTTTTTAAGGAGAGACTTTTTTAGGTGGCTAAAATACATTTTGCTGCTGACTCCTCTACTCAGTAGAATCCTTGGCTCCCATGTTGGACTCCAGCCTGCTTCTCCAAACTGAAGGCATGCCAACTGACATCTACTGTACATAACATACTGTGTATGGATAAGTACCCCTTGCAACCCCACTTCAAAAAAACTGAACTATCCCTTTAATGGGAAAACCACCCTAATGTCAAACTGTGCTTTGTATATTAGGCCACATGGGTGAGGGAAACAGTAGTGGAAAGTAAAGGAGTAGACTACATTTACTCTAAGTACCAAACTTAAATGCAATTTTGAGGCACCTTACTTAGCCTACGTATTTCCATTTTATGCCTATTTATAATTCTACTTAACTACATTTCAGAGATAAGTATTGTACCATTGTACTTACTGTGTCACATGACTCCTACATGAGTTCTTAAACTGCACACCTGTTTCCAATGCATCTTACACCCTGATGAAGACTCAAGTCGAAATGTGTTGGTTTATCCATGTATTAATACAGGATTTTTAACAAGTCAGAGTGCCTCAGATGCTTTTTTTTCTGTCCCCCTGCCCGTACCATGGACTTTTACACTAAGTGAGCTGGCCAGCTGTTGTTTTTCTTTTATTTTTAGATGACCATTAGCCCTATCCTTGAAGAGCACCTGATTTTTTAACTCCACAGTCCCTTAATCCAGTGAAGCACTCCCTATTTTTCCCTCATATTGTACTTTTCACTTTCACTTCATTTATCTAGGAGCTATAGTAACCTCTTAAATTTTCACATTAAGATTTTTTACATACAACACATGTGATCAGTTGATAAAATATGATCCAATGATTAAACTACCCAAAATAGTCCTATACTAAAAGAAGCCCAACCTCAACCAAGAACAACAGCATTAAAGTAGGCTACTAGCTACTTTTATATTGATACATCAATAATAATGATCCAATAATATCGGCTAACAGCATAACACTGACTAGAGCCACACTGCATTTTGAGTACTTGTGGTAAAAGCAGTCATAATAACAAAAAAATAACATTTTGTCGCTGATACTTCTGTACTTTTACTTAAGTGAAATTTTGATAGCAGGACTTTCATTTGAAGGCCTAATAGAGTATTTTGTGGTATTGCTACTTTTACATGGGTAAATTATTGAAATACTTCTTCCATCACTGGAGGGAAGTATTCAGATAGTTTACTGTACTTCAGTAAAAGTAGTAACACCACACTGAAAAAATACTCCATTGTAAGTAAAGCTCCAACATTCATAACTGCTCTCAGAAGAAGCAACAAAATAAGGTAAAAAAGTAAAACTACTTATTATACAAAATGGTACATTATCATATAGCCTATATTACATTACTGGATTATTTTTACACATATATTGATTTGTAAGCAGCTTTTATATACTATAGCAGCATGTGGAGATGATTCAAACTACTTTCTATAGCCCACTGTTGAGGAGTTTAATTTATGGCATTTTTGTTTTTTATCTAAAATCTAAATCTGCAACGGTACTGCTGTCTGAGGTGAAGTAAGTTGCATGAAATATAAAAATACTCAAGTAAAGAATACATCGCCTATTCTAATAGGTGTGGTATCCAAAGTGGGAACTAAATAAAATGTGTCAGTTTCACTATTATTTGATTCACTTGGGCTTATGTTAAACACCACTGCATAGTCGTGTGTGTGTGTGTGTGTGTGTGTGTGTGTGTGTGTGTTTTCTGCCCTTGATGCCTCCATGATGACTGCTTGTAGCTAATACAAAGAAAATAGCACCACAGTTTGGTCAAACACAAGTATGACATGGATTTTTCTTAACTTTCCAGTTAGTGTGTCAGTAAGGTGTTAGTAGTTGTTTGTTTCATGAGCAGCTGTTGTACATTAATGGTATGGCTTTCCCAAAAGAAACTTCATGAAACTCTTCAGGTAAAGGTCTAAAGAAACACACACTCTGATCCTGATAATTGGGGATTTAAAAAATAATAATAAAAAAAAAAAAAATTAAAAAAAATACATTGGAGTACATTCAAAAAGTAATTTTAGCCCCTTAAGTAGATTTTTGACATCATAATGTATTTCTGTACTTTTGTTAGGGGCAAGAATTTTGCCTTTTATCCTTTGGGTCAGTCAGTAGGATCTTCCACTTACAGTAAAAGTACACAGTTTCATAAGAATAATTAAAAAATCTTTTTTTACAAATGAAAAGTTGAAAGCAATAAAACTCATCCTTGCTCCATTCAACACACAGCTGGGAGAAGTTTTCCCAGAGGGTTTGTTGCCAGATAGGAATTTCCTGGTTAAGGTTAAAAACTCAGGGGTTTTGATGCCACAGCCTCACATGGTCTAGTAGGTCCTATATCATGCTGATGTTTGCTGATGTTAGAAAACTTCAGATATAAAGCCTATTGATGAGTAAAAGACATCAGTAAGTTAGCCTATTTTGCTGACGTTGACCCTTCCATATTTGTGTTACTGCTGTGATACATTTTAGCATACCACAGATCGCCCTTGTTATCTGATTGATTCATTGATTGATTTTACTTGATAAAATACACAAATGTGCATACAGTACTCAAATTTATCAGGATATTGCAAAAAAGTCAAATTAATTATTTCCATTCTGGTCCTGAAGTCACTGCTAGCAGGCAGGCAGGCAGGAAAAAAGAAAGATATGTAGGGTAAGATGGGAGACGATGCCCTCCTTAAGAACAAAGTCAGTAGTCAATAGTCAGTACTGTAAAATTAAGTATCTGGATATGAGGTTAGCCTGTGCGGGATAGTGATGTCCCACTGTTGGGACAAGATGGCCCTTGCCAGGGGCAAGAAAGCTCCTGAGCTCAAAACTAAATAACCAACTACATACAACAAACTAGGGCGGCACGGTGGTGTGGTTGTTAGCACTGTGGCCTCACAGCAAGAGTGGTCCTGGTTTGATCCCAGGAGGGAGCCCTTCTGTGTAGAGTTTGCATGTTCTCCCCGTGTCAGCGTGGGTTTTCTCTGGGTACTCCGGCTTCCTCCCACAGTCCAAAGACATGCAGGTTGGGGATAGGGATAGACTCTAAATTGTCCATAGGTGTGAATGTGAGTGTGAATGGTTGTTTGTCTTTATGTGTCAGCCCTGTAATAGTCTGGTGATAGTGAAGACAATGTCTAGCAAGGTTTGTAAGCTTTGTAATGTTCTCATTTTGAGTAACACACTCCTAACAAAGCCAATTTTACTGCAAAGTCTACATGTCCCCTGTCTGGTTTGTCCTCAGTCTCAGTGTCATCTAAACCTTTCAATGTTTGGTTACAGATACAAGACAAACTGCAAACTAAGCCAAATCAGTTTTGTCCTGAGCATTTTGCACCAGCAAAATAAACATTTGGTGACAAATAAAGGTTGAGGCCACAAAGGCCTTTGAAAAGGTTTTTGTGACCTAAATTGTCAATAGATAATTTAATGTCAAACTGTCTACCACCTCAGAGGCCTGATCTGATAGGACATGTGTTTAATCCTCTTATCCCTCCCATACAACTGAATTTGTTCTGTTGCCAAATCAAATCATCCACCTGAATAATATAAAAAAAAATATTACATAAAACAACTCTGAGGCTTTTGAGTGGCCGTTGAAATGACTGGAGGCTGTGATTGGTGGTTATTTGGCCTCAGAGGTGGGGTTTATGAAACATCAGGCCTAGTCACATATAAATGTGGCAGCACACATAATACTTTGGGTTGTCCTGGTCAAACTGCTGTGAAACCATGGCAAAGAGTTGGAGGGTCACCTCTTTGGTGGCACTAGCACTGCTAGGGTGCTTAGTTGGGACACAGGTAGGAGCTCAGGACTCAGTATGGTCTGCATCATCATTGACAAAGGGCGCTCCACCTCCTCAGGCACCACAGGTTCGTCAACCTCCAGCACCACAGAGGGTTTATGAACCAAGACCACAAGTTTCGCCACCACAGCCGCAATATTCTCAAGCTCCAAAGGTCCAACCTCCTCCACCACCACAGAAGGCTTATGAACCAAGACCACAGGTGTCGCCACCACAACCTCAGGTTTATGATCCAAGACCACAGGTTTCGCCACCACAGCCTCAGGTTTATGAACCAAGACCACAGGTTTCGCCACCACAGCCGCAATATTCTCAAGCTCCAAAGGTCCAACCTCCTCCATCACCACCAAAGGTTTATGAACCAAGACCACAGGTTTTGCCACCACGGCCTCAGGTTTATGTCCCAAGACCACAGGTTTTGCCATCACAGCCTCAATATTCTCAAGGGCCAAAGCATTTTCCATATCCACGAGCATTTACTGATTTTCAGTCTCCCCAAGAACCACAGGCCCCTCAACCATATGAACCATACCAACCGGAGCAACCACATCAACCATATCAACCATATCAACCGGAGCAACCACATCAACCATACCAACCAAATAAACCGGAGCAACCACATCAACCATACCAACCAACTAAACCACAGCAACCACATCAGCCATACCAACCAACTAAACCGCAGCAATCACATCAACCGTATCAACCACAACAACCGCATCAACCGACATCACCACAGGCACCTTCCAAACACCAGCCTTCTTTCCAGAGTTGTGAGGTGGCAGAGAACCAGAAAGTCCCATGTGGTGGTCCTGATATCACTGCTGCTACATGTGAAGCGATTAGCTGCTGCTTTGATGGCCGACAGTGCTACTTTGGAAAAGCAGGTGGGTTTTCGACAAGGCTCTGACTCCAAAAAGCATAAGACTTGCATATTTGGTTGCAATGAGTAATTACTGCATTGTGTCAGCAATGGATGACTTTCCTTAGCTAGGAAATGATCCAGATAGAATACTATTTTGGTGCGTTGTTCTTGCTTAGTGTTTGCTGTTTTGTTTGATTTTTCTTCGAAAATACGATTCAGTGATCGGGTTAAGCTTATATAACCTTTCCCCACTTAGGCCTACAACATGTCTGATGATGTGCACATAATATTACAGTCACTTTAATAATAAGACCAAGATGTCACCTGATTTGACATCCTTTGGCATAGACCATCAAAGTCCCCTAGGGATGAATCTTCATGACTTTGGTGATCCCCTTACTTTGCCTCTAGTGACACCATCAAAGTCAAGATTTAATTACTAGTACTTACCTTGTTACTAATTACCAGATGTTTACATGCTTAACAAAGATGATCATGTCAAAATTGTCATTATCAGCATCTTAGTCTGCTAACATTAGCATTTAGCTTAGCTGTACCCGAAATAAACCCCAAAATAGTTTTCCAAACATCTGTGGACTCTTAAATTCTCTTTGATCTGCATTTCAAACCATTCAGCTTATAAACACCTGTTTTTGTTCCACCAGTGACTGTCCAGTGCACCAAGGATGCCCAGTTCATCGTGGTAGTAGCAAGAGATGCCACTCTGCCCAACATTGACCTCGAATCAATCTCACTGTTGGGACAGGGTCAAGGCTGCACACATGTTGACTCGAACTCAGAGTTCGCCATCTACCAGTTTCCTGTCACAGCCTGTGGCTCCATTGTTATGGCAAGACTTTCATTTTCTTTACTTTTCAACCAATAAAGACAACTTAAAATAGGACCTATGCATGTTTTTACCCCACAATTCCAATATGCTTTGTTTTTATAGGAAGAGCCTGGTGTTATAATCTATGAGAACAGGATGGTTTCCTCATTTGAAGTGGGAGTTGGACTTCTTGGAGTCATTACCAGAGACAGCTACTTTGAGTAGGTCATCCTTGCTTAAAAGATGTTTGTGCAGTCAAAATAAAAGATCTGACTGAGCAACATAACACCAGTTTTCTCTTTACAGATTGCTCTTCCAGTGTAGGTACACTGGCACTTCTGTTGAAACTGTGGTCGTAGAAGTATTGCCATTAGATAATCCTCCTCTGCCAGTTGCTGCTCTGGGACCCATAAGAGTACATATGAGGTTGGCGAACGGACAATGCAATACAAAGGGTTGCAATGAAGGTAAGTGTATATCAGCCTTGCAGCACTGCTGTGTTTGTCAATAATTTTCTACAACTGGCTGTCTCACTAACTAATCTCTGTTTTTGCAGTGGAAGTGGCCTATAGCTCTTTCTACACGGATGCAGACTATCCTGTGACCAAAGTACTGAGGGACCCTGTGTATGTGGAGGTGCAACTCCTTGAAAAGACAGATCCCAACCTTGTCCTGACTCTTGGTCGTTGTTGGACAACCACAAGCTCCAACCCTCACAGTCTGCCACAGTGGGACATTCTGACAGACGGGTAACTACGACACCAACTTACATGTTTTACATTGCGGTCAGTTTGTCTGTTTGTTGTGAAGACTGATTATAATCTGATGAAGCTTACATAGTTAGCCAATGATAATAAAAACCTGTCAATTTTGACATTCTAGAGTTGAAAAATAATCTGCTTCTAAATTTCTGTACTGTAATTATTTTTGGGCCAACACGTGCCAAAACAAAGTATTGCAGGCAAGCTAATATCAGCAGATGTTGATGTATTACCAGGTTGAAATGACAGATGCTGACTTCCTTACTCAATTTAATTTCAGTGTCATTGCCTTAATATCATATTCTTTTCCCCCAGGTGTCCATACAGGGATGATCGCTACTTGTCCTCACTGGTTCCAGTCGGTCTCTCCTCTGGTCTGGACTTCCCCAGTCACTACAGGCGTTTCATTTTCAAGATGTTTACCTTTGTAGACACCAATTCAATGGAACCCATGAAGGAACAGGTAATAAATATATCTGTTGATGATAAACAACAAAGCAACCAAATATTGTTGTTTTGCTCTGCTAACCGTGTTTTCTTGTTCAGGTGTACATCCACTGCAGCACAGCTGTGTGCACTGCTGCTGCAGGTCACTCCTGTGAACCATCGTGCTACAGAAGAAGTAAGAGATGAATTTATAAACTGCAGAATTCAGAGCAATATGCACATAAATCTAACCATCTTTGTATGTCTGTCTGCAGAGAGAGATGTCAAGGATGTGGACTGGAGGAGGGCTGAGCCGCAGGTTGTGGTTTCTTCCGGACCAGTGATCATGAGTTCCCCTCAGCAGTAAACAGCACCGTGTCCAGCTCAAGAATTTGGCCATGAACATTTAGTGAAAGATTTGAAGCATTAACATGGTTCACTTATTATTGATGTGAAATGAAAATGACAATGTTCATAACTGTAATGTTTGTAAAACATTTTGAAATAGACTCGAGTTAAAAGTGTGGTGCAGGAAGATCCCCAAATGACTGTAGTCGAGTATATATTTAATAAAACTGACTATGACTGACTTGAAAAGCTTACCAGTTATTGGGCAATACAATTCCCCTGATAAATCCCTTTTAAAGCTTATTAAGTTCAATTTTTTAAACTATGTCAGCGTGATGTCGATTTCACCGGTGATTTCTGAGGTTTTAATTAGTGGTGAAGTTGTATTGGATGGCATTATATTAAAATGTTTCACATAGTTAATCAACTCATGTCTGAAACAGTTCAACAATAAAAAAATAATAATAATTTGAAATGTATTTATAGCTTCACAAAGCATATCCTGATGGGCCAGTATCTATAGTATTGGATTGGACTGCATGAGAGTATATCATTGGTAAATTCAGGTTATTCCAAGTTGCAAGAAAATGTTTGAAAACACTGCCTTAAAGTGGATAGTACGCATTTATCTAAACTCACAGGAGGTACAACAGATGGGTTGAAACTCTGAAATCAGTGGCATTCTAATAGACATGGACTGTTGGTGTCAATAATAACACCAATGATGTTTCCAAAATAATAAATAGATGGAAGGAAATCACTTTTTGAAGAAATGTTTACTGAAAAAGAGTCATAAGTGCTCTATTGGACCTAACTGTTCTGATATTCACTGATATTTTATCACACTTAATTTAAGCAGACTTTGAAGTTGAGATTCTTTACAGTTAATGTTGAACTGCGAGGACAGCCAGGAAATGACTTTGCAGAAGGGCCACTTGTGCAAAATAATAGGAGGCCGGGGGCCAGTTAATAAAAAAAATATATATATATTTATCAGATAAAATGAATGAACAAGGCAAATGCAGTAGCAGCAGCCCCACACAGGTCAGGTGAACGTAGGGCCGCTTCTAGTTTCTAAGGACGAGAGTCTTAGCCTGGGTCTCTGTCAGAGGGTCCAGGGGATCCTCCCCTAGCAGTTTTTTTGTTTGTCTATAAAAGAAGCCCTCTGTAAGGGACTTAAAATGATTCAAGATCTGTATATACAAGACGCAGACACTATGATGTCTTTTGAAGAGCTGAGATCTAATTTTAACCTTAATAACAAACATTTCTTTAAGTATTTTCAGCTTAGAAATTTTGTTAAAGTAAATCAAAATAATCTGCTTACCAGGACTTTATATTCACTTCTGGAAAAAAGTATGATAAAGGACAAGTTGAGGAAAGGTATCATATCAGAACTTTACAATCTGTTGTCATCTTGCTAACCTGAAAACTCACAGTCTAAATTAAAAGCCTGGAAGGAAAACTTGCAACTTGAAATTTCAGAGGAAGATTGGGAAGCAGCTTGCACTGGTGCTCATATCAAATCTATAAATACACGTCATAAATTAATACAATATAAATGGTTAATGCAGACTTATTTGGCACCAGTGGACTTAAACTGGTTTGACCCAAATATACCAGATATATGCACAAAATGTACAGAAAACAGAGGGACTGTGTTCCATTGTATTTGGCAATGTACAAAGGTTAACATGTTCTGGGAAGAGGTAAGAGTTGTGATAGAGGAGGTAATTTCAAAACAAATTTTACTGGATCCTAAACTTTTTCTCTTGGGCTTATATCCAAAGAAACATAATTACAGTATGTTTTTTGTTGTTTTTTTTTAATAATGCAGCAGGCCTTTATGTTTGCAAACATTGTATGAATGAAAATAGGCTGTATCTTAAAATGTTCACAAATAAATAAAAATATTGTGGCAAAAAAGCTCTCTTTTGATGCTTTTTATGCACTCTGGCACCTTATTTACATTTAAAGTACAAAAAAATTCCCCATTGTTAATATATGTATTTTCATTGTGAATTAGAAATGGTTGGCGGGCCACCTGGCACCCTATCTGGCCCACAGGCCATAGGTTGAGTCTCACTGCTGTACACTGAGGATACTGTGTCCTCTTACTCTTAGAGGTCTGGGCTATCAAATATAATCTCTACTAAGAAAGGCCCATAGTGTTTCAGCCAGTCAAATAGTTGGAGTGGGTATTACAGAGAGGAATTTAGTTAATGTCTGTTGTGTAATGTTGTGTCAGGGAAACACAGCATTATTTACTGTATATCAAATGAAAATCATTTGAATGACGTTTAAAATCAACATAAGCCATACAAAAATTAATAGAAATAAAGATTAGATTTTACAAATTAGATTAATGGATACATTGAATCAAATACAAATTGAATAGACCAGAAATACAGTAATGGAGCAATACTATGTTACAAGTTGCCCATAATGCAACAAAGAGATTTAGGTGCATAGAGAAACTCTAGTCAGTCAAAGGCATAAGAGAGACAGTTTTCTCTGAACAGTAAGACAAAAATGGCACAACATGGCTAAGTAGTTTGTAGTTTTGGTAACCTTTTGAAGTTTCGTTTTTAAGTTTGGGGGAGACCGGGGGCAATTGTAACTTTTTTTTGAGTCATTACTCATAAACCTCTTGGAATATTTGGAAAAAATTGACCAATCCAAAATACTACCCACATAGTTACTGTTGCTAAGACAGACAAACTTTACATAAAGAAACATGGCAGTGCTGGTTCTGCTTAGCCAGGTGTTGCCGTGTTTATTCAATAGTTTCTCGATGTTAGGCAATATAAAGCTTCAAGAAGCCGACAACAGGACCACGGTGCTGACCTTGTGTTAGTCTCTCTTTACCGTAGAAAGTTATTGGTTACTTCAGGTGAGCACATAGCCTTACAGATGATATAAACAAAGGAATGTTAGCCTTGATCTTTCCTGGCTAATGATAATTCATGTCATCGTAAAAATATGCCAGCAGCCAACTTACCTGTCCTTTTCCAAATCTCTTTAACGTTACTACAGAACTAAGGAGGAAGCGAACCTGGCTGATGTTGTTGATTTGATGTTGGGCTAACTCCTCCAAATGTATCTGTATGTAAGCAAGTTATTTAGTTAGCATTTTGCTCACATTTGCTAACTTAAGATGTGACAACAATATAATGTGTCTGTGAGGATTGTGACATTCCCCAAGCCACATCTGTTAACCATCCTAATAACTCCTTGGGATCAGGTGGAGAGATCCACTTCCTGTCAGGAGAAATCCAGGAAAAGGAAGTATTTAAGTGTGGGAGTGGCCTATTGGAATCCATTTTGTTTGAGGCCATGCGGCAAGGTGAGTGTGCTTGCTGATCCTGTAAGTCCAGTTAGCTCCTTTAACTTTAGCTTATATTGTAGTTATGCTATGTAGTGTGTGAAATAGAGTATGGTGAATGTGACAGGAAAGCTAGTATCAGCATTGCTTCTGCCTGGAGCTCGCATGTATGGAGCCTGGGTTTGGTTGAAGATGGCAGTGCTGTTTGGGCTGAGAAAGCCATGTGTAAGTAAGGAGGAAATCCAGGAAGAGGAAGGTTATTTAAGTGTGGGAGTGGCCTATTTGAATCCATTTTGTTTGAGACCATGCTGCAAAGTGAGTGTGTTTGCTGATCCTGTGAGTTCATTTATCTCCTTTAACTTTAGCTTACATTGTAGTTATGCTATGTAGCGTGTGAAATAGAGTATGGTGAATGTGCTAGTAAAGGTAGTATCAGCATTGCTTCTGCCTGGAGCTCGCATGTACGGAGCCTGGGTTTGGTTGAAGGTGGCAGTGCTGTTTGGGCTGAGATCACTGTCCAGCCTCCTGGAGGTGTCATTGTTGTGAGGGCTCGTCTTGGGGAGGTAGACTGTACAGCCTAACCCGGCGGGGGAGTGTGATAGCCTAACAAGGCTTCCTTCCCTGGGTCTACCTCCTCTGTGGTAGTATAGGTAAGGTAAAGGAGGTTGTTCGGTTAGTGTGGGGAGCAGTGAGACCTGGCATTAAGGGGAGTGTCTCTGGGATGCCAGAGATCACTGTCTAGCCTCCTGGAGGTGTCGTGGGACCAACTAGACAAAACACCGGTGAAAGGAGGTTCCCACCCGATGACCCCAAAGACATGTTAGTTATCACTGCTCACTGGTCTGTATAGTTAAGCCTTGCCATATAAAGCTTATCGTAGGGCTTAGGAGGTTATTCACTGAGTGCTGATCCTTTTTTTTTTTTTTTTTTTTTTTTTTTTTTTTAAGAGCACAAACTTCTTGTGTTTATTTGAATTGAATTAAAATCTGGTTCATCACAAAGACAAGTCTAAATAGCATATGGTTATAGTAAAAACAATTGAATTTCCATTGATGTATTAATTCCATTTTAATTAAAACAGTATAATTTATCATATTGACCCATGACAGTTCTCCAAAGACATTGGCCAGCACTAACTAGTGAGTTGTTTTGGCCTGTTTAAGACATGGAGGAAGATCATGTGAGCGGAAATTCATAACACTGTCAGAATGTACTGTACGGTTATCAAAAGCACCGTGCTCTCAGAGTGGCACTCTAGGCACTTTGTCTGTGGAGACAGAGCAGCAGCTCATCGAGCAGAGTGAATGTGTGAACAACTTAACCATTCGTCAATTCATACAAAAATATAAAGCTCCATTTCTTTGTCCAACAGGGCTCTTAGTTTAGTGTAGAGCATCACTGAATGAATTTATGAACGCACCATGTCAGGTCACTCACTCTCCGGACCGCGAGTGCTACTTGAATAAAGTAAACACTGACCAACTGGACCAGACTCTTCGACCCGTATGCTTTCATTCAGTGGATGGATGATTTGACAGGATTGCTGTAGGACGACAAAGAAGGACGACACTTGACTAGCTTCTTCCAGTTTGTTTTGCTATGGAAACCACGCTAATGTCCCAAAAAGTTAGCATTAGGGAGCAATCCAGTATTCCTATTAGTACTTCCCAGTTTCTGATTAGGTGGGCATGATAACCCTTCATACACATTATACATCCCTACAACATATTTTTTCCCTAATCTGATATGAAGCTTGCGCTGCACATGCGAGCATTTTTGATGATCACGTCCATCAAGTCCTTTCTTATCACACCATAGTTGTCTTTGTTTTTGTTGACGGCCAATGGCGGCTGATAGAATTTGA